TTAAGCTTGAAAATGGTAACTCTGGGAAAATATTGTATACATATATCCCAAAAGGAATTTATTACTAGGATTGCCAGTCTAGCTCAATATGGGATAATCAACTAATAGAACACTCTACATTAAGAATCAATAAGAAAAACTACAGGGTCTCCTCAAGAAATACAGAAAAGTATTTTGACAGAGGCAACATATCTTGTTGATAAAATCTTTTAAAAATCTTAGCTGAGAAGGGAACGTCTTCAGGACTACTAATGGGATTTATAGATGATTGGATACATATAACGTGCTATAGTCACATGACGGAATATTTTTCACCAATCAAAAGGAATGAAGTGAACATTTATGTTACAATAGTAATAAACCTTAAAATAATTATGATAAGGTAACGAGGTCACTTACAGAAGACCACACAAAGCATGAATGAACTCAGAAGAAAACATCATGACAAGGCTAAATGTCAGTTAGGAGTAGGGGGATGTTGAGGGAGGGTGTTGGGAAAGATGAAAGTGACTGCTGGTAGGGATTGACATTCTTTGTAGGAGGGGAGAACACAAAGTTCTAAAATTGGATTGTGATGATAGCTGTACAGTTATCTGACTATGCTAAGTAACACAGAATTGTACAGTTTCAAAGAGTGAACTACTTATTTCAATGAAGCTACTTGGCAATGTTTTCCAAAACTTGAGGTGCTCAAAATGTTCACAGCATAAGAAGTACACAGTTCAAGAAAGTTATTGAGAGACAGTCAACTCTTTCTCCCTTCTCACACACAGGTTACCATGAATTGACTTGGAAGGCACGTTGTTCCATCCTATCAACCATGTCATATTCTTTTCTTTTCTTTTCTTTCTTTTTTTTTTTTTTTTGAGACAGAGTCTAACTCCCTCCCCCAAGGCAGAGTGCCCTGAGGTTAACATAGCTAACAGCAATCTTAAACTCCTGGTCTGCACAGATCCTATTGCTTCAGCCTCCTGGAAAATGGGAGTCCAGGTGCTCCTCAAAAGTGTCCAGTCAGTTTGGACCACCGCTTCCGCTTCCCAGATTGTTAGGATTACAGATGTGAGCCAACACTCCAGAACTTGAAGTTGGGATAGTTTTCAAACTATGGTTCGTGGCCATCGATGGTGCTTCATGCCTATCATCTTGGCACTTTGGGAGGCCCAGTCGGTTGGACTGCCTGAGCTTATAAATTGGAGACAAGCATGAGCACTAGTGAGATCCCCAGCTCTGAAGAACAAAAATCAGCCAGATGTTATGCAGGTGCCTGGAGTCCCTGATGAGGGCATAGGTTCACTTGATGACAACATTTGAAGATTGTTGTGAGCTATGATACCAGGGCACTCTACTGAGGTCAACAAAAATGAGACTATTTGTCAATATACAAATGGAGATAACCATTGGTAGGGAAATTACTCCTCTGTTTTACTTTTGCCCGTGGATCTAGTGTTAAAATTTTTCACCTAGATTAGATATCAACTAGAGAAATTATTCTCTCATAGGGAAATTGCTTTCCTACAACCTCTATTAGTCAATAGAGGTTTGTATTTTATACAACTCTGACCCTTTGACATCATAGATTCTTGTAGTCACAGCAAGCTACCCACACAGTGTATTCTTGACTCAAATCAGGCTTTTAATATGTACACCAAATATCTAGCGTATACTCTCCACCTCATCTTTTGGGATCCTTCTATTGAGACCAATAATCCCTTGCCCCAGTCAGTTCAAGGCCAGGGACTAGACATCTCTGGACAACCACTACCCATCAGATCAACCAGCAATGTCCTAAAGAACCAATGCAAACCCACTTATCCTGACTCATTGTTTTCTCCCCAGGGATTTATAATAAGTTTCCTCCTTTATGTAGTCCCACATTCCATCTGTCTATTGACTTCTCCTCATACTTCTGCTCTTGGAAACAGTGTCTAGAAACTTTTCCTTCCTTCTTTCTTTTTATATTTTTCCTAAGACAGACTCTCACTCTATTGTCCAACAGAGAGTATCATAGCCTCAGACTAGCACACAGTGACATCCAATTATTGGTTTGAGGGGATCTTCCTACCTCACCCTTTGGAGTAGCTGGAACTAAATGCAAGGGCCACAGTGCTTCACTCTCCTTTATATTAGAGTAGAAAACGGGTGGGAGATTGGGACTGAGGGTGTCCTGCTTTTGCTCTGCCTTGTGTCCAATGGATGAGTTCAGGGCAACAGCCAAAGTTGGCCTCCCAGAGCATCCAATTATTGTAGTTATGCATGGCAAAAGCCATTGAACTCTATTTTAAAAATGACCCTATCAGAAGCTTTGAGGAGTGTCCAATCCTCAGGCCCTGGTGACACACAGGGATTATGTCAAGACCGTTTTGTATATCTGTGGTGGCAGATATCACCACAACTGTGCACAGATATCTTTTTGCTTATCAGGTTTCATTAGGGATTGTGTATTGAACGTGTGACTCAATGAAACTCTTTTACTTCCTACATGGCCAAGAAGCCAAATTTTGGACATCCCTGTCATGAACGTTAGGAATTTTGGAACATTCCAGATAGGATGATATTTCCCATGATAATCATAAATAACTGTAGGTGGCATTGAATACAGTACTGGACACATTGCCTACCCAGATTTCAAGAGAGGATCTTCAGTGAGCCACCTACCCTCCCCAAAAAGCCTATTCTAGAGAAAGAAGTAAAACATCAAGAAATGTAGAACTGAGAATTGTATGACATACCTGTCAAGTCTATGAAATCAGTGTCCAATCTTTGGGCTCTGGTTCTTGGTCTAAAACATCACAGTGCACCACTAGGTATAAACCATACTCTTCTACTTTGTTAAAAATCTATGACTTGAAAAGGAAAGAAAGTGTTGATGAATCTCTGGGCCACAGATACAAACACATTTTAAGACTCAGGAATTGAGTGCAGAGAACAGAACCCCATTTTTTGTAACAGTTTGAACCCAACGACAAACCCAGACAGCCACTACAAATGCTTAGCAGGAATGACGTTAAGCTTAAAGATGGTCACCCAGGGCAAAACCCATTATGATGTTATCCACGGTGACCATGTAGTGACTTCATCCTGTATTGTCCTGTGATCCAGGCTTCTGTTCAAAGATACTAAGTGGCCTTTTCTGCTCACTTCAGCTGGTGTCCCTCAAGTGTTTGAACCAGGACAATTCTTAGCCCACCAATCACAGAAAGAGAATGGATGTCTCATTTGTGCCTTACTGATGCTATTCACACTTGAGATTTTTGGCACTAGGCTGACACAACATTTGATATTTTGTACAGTATTGTGATTCAAGTGGCATCAGAGCTGACAAAGCGTCATGGAGTCAGTTAAGTAGGCCACTATCTCTTTTTTCCTTTGAGACAGAGTTTATTTTGTTACACTTGGTAAAGTGCTGTGGCATCACAACTCACAGCAAAATCCTATTCCTGGGCTTAGGTTATTCCTTTTCCTCAGCTTCAAGCTTCAAGACGTCAAGCATCTGCCACAGCACCTGATCATTTTTTTTTTTTTTTTTTTGTTATTTGGCCAGGGCTAGGCTGGAACTCACCACCCTCAATATATGGGGCCAGTGCCCTACCCACTGACCAAAAGGCATTGCCCATGGGATGCGATATCAAGGACTTGTTTGATGCCAACCCCAAAACATCCATTTGAGAGAAGCTTAAAAATTTACTATGCCTTGATACAGCCTCAATTTGGTCATAGCTTCACATGTCTTAAGCATGTCTATTTTGTCTGAACAATCAATGTAATTCTGGTCTTTTTCGATGATGAAAATGTTTGTTGCTTAATTTGATGGTTTGTCTCTGCATGGATATGATGGGTATTTTTCAGATATGGTTTCTGTATGTGGCCCAGGCTAGTCTCTCATGGAGTCAGCCTAGATCATCATAACCTCAAACTCCAGGATTCAGTGAAAGCTCCTGCCTGAGACTCCCGTGTAGGGAAGACTACAGGTGCCTGTCGAAACACCTAGGTATTTTTTCATGTTTTAGTAGATATAGGGTCACAATCTTCCTCTCTCCATTCTCAGCACCCCTTTATTCAAGAATTCCACTCATCTCAGTCTGCCAGATGGCTAGGATTATAGATGTGAACCACCAAGTTTGGTCATTTTCTTTCTTTATTTCCCTCGCACCCTCTCTTCACCCCTCCCAAACTTTATCCCTCCTTCCTGCACTTCTCTCTCATTTGCTTGCTCTCTCCATTCTTTTTTTTTTTTTTGCCAATTTTAAATACAGCTTTATTTAAGACATTGCATTTTCCACTTACAATACAGTGCTTTTAAAGTACAATGTTACTTCCTTCCCCTGTGCACATGTTCCATATTCAAGTATTGAAAATGCCCAATAATTCACTATAGCAGCCCAACTTTAAATCTGCCACATAATTTGCTACAAATTTGGATCCTTCAATGTTTTACTGTGTGGAACAATGCTACATCTACACTTGGGTTGGCTTAATCAACCTCTTCAATGGTGGGGCCAGAGGAAGCAGCACCAGAAGGAGGAGCACCCCCACCAGGAAAGCCCCCAGGCATTCCTCCTGGCATGCCCCCTGGCATGCCATCTGCACTCTGGTACAACTTGGTAATGATGGGGTTGCAGACTTTCTCCAGCTCCTTCTGCTGATGTTCAAATTCTTCCTTCTCTGCAGTCTGGTTCTTATCAAGCCAGTTGATAATTTCATTGCACTTGTCAAGAGTCTTCTGTTTGTCCTCATCATTGATCTTGCCTTGAAGTTTCTCATCTTCAACAGTTGCTTTCATGTAGAATGCATAGGACTCAAGTGAATTCTTTGATAAAACCTTGTCCCTCTGCTTCTCATCTTTAGCCTTGTACTTCTCAGCTTCCTGGACCATACATTCAATGTCTTCCTTGCTCAAACGTCCCTTGTCGTTAGTGATGGTAATCTTATTTTCTTTTCCTGTACTCTTATCCACAGCAGAGACATTGAGAATGCCATTGGCATCAATATCAAAAGTGACTTCAATCTGAGGAACACCACGGGGAGCAGGAGGTATGCCTGTAAGTTCAAACTTGCCAAGCAAGTTGTTATCTTTGGTCATGGCACGCTCACCTTCATAAACCTGGATGAGAACACCTGGCTGGTTGTCAGAGTAGGTAGTGAAGGTCTGTGTCTGCTTGGTTGGAATAGTAGTATTGCACTTAATGAGCACAGTCATAACTCCCCCAGCAGTCTCAATAGCCAGAGAAAGAGGAGTGACATCCAATAGTAGCAAATCCTGAACATTCTCGGATTTGTCACCAGATAAGATGGCCACCTGGACAGTTGCACCATAAGCAACAGCCTCATCAGGGTTGATGCTCTTATTCAGTTATTTTCCATTGAAGAAGTCTTGGAGAAGCTTTTGAATCTTGGGAATACGGGTAGAACCACCAACCAGGACAATGTCATAGATCTGTGACTTGTCTAGTTTGGCATCTCGAAGGGCTTTCTCTACAGGGTCCAGGGTGCCACAGAAAAGATCAGCATTCAATTCTTCAAATCGGGCACAGGTAATGGAGGTATAGAAGTCGATTCCTTCATAAAGGGAATCAATCTCAATACTGGCCTGGATGCTGGAAGATAGAGTACGCTTAGCATGTTCACAAGCGGTACGGAGGCGACGGACAGCTCTTTTATTCTCACTGATGTCCTTCTTATGTTTGTACTTAAACTCAGCAATAAAATGGTTGACCATTCGGTTGTCAAAGTCTTCGCCACCCGGGTGAGTATCTCCAGCTGTAGATTTGACCTGAAAGATTCCATCCTCAATAGTGAGGATTGACACATCAAAAGTGCCACCTCCAAGGTCAAAGATTAGCACATTTCTTTCAGCTCCAACCTTTTTGTCTAAGCCATAAGCAACAGCAGCAGCAGTTGGCTCATTTATAATCCTAAGAACATTGAGACCAGCAATAGTTCCAGCATCTTTGGTAGCCTGACACTGAGAATCATTGAAGTAAGCTGGTACTGTGACCACAGCACTGGTAACAGTCTTTCCCAGATAGGCTTCTGCAATTTCCTTCATCTTTGTCAGAACCATAGATGACACTTCCTCTGGATAGAAACTTCTTGTCTCTCCTTTATATTCTACTTGGACCTTGGGCCTGCCTGCATCATTCACCACCACCAAAGGCCAATGCTTCATATCAGACTGGACAACAGCATCATCAAACCTGCATCTAACCAGACGCTTGGCATCAAAAACTGTGTTTGTGGGGTTCATTGCAACTAGATTTTTTGCAGCATCACCAATCAATCGTTCAGTGTCAGTAAAGGCAACATAACTTGGAGTGGTTTGATTTCCCTGATCATTAGCAATTATCTATACTTTTCCATGCTGGAAGACACCCACACAAGAGTAGGTGGTGCCAAGATCAATACCAACCGCAGGTCCCTTAGACATGGTTGCTTACTCGTAGAGCCAGCATGGATTACGTAAGACACACAGAAGACCCAGGAGCTGCCACCGCATTCAATGAGACCCACTCTCTCCATTCTTTTCCTTCCTTCATTCCTTTCTTTTTTCTAGCACTTTCCTCTATACCTTAAGGGAAACGTTCTAGTAACAAACAAACGAACTATACAAGTAATCCCTGAATGTGTAGTCTTGAAGTCTATACTTGAAATGGTTGTACTGTGGAGTGTGTGAATTATATCTGAATAGAGTCATTATTTTTAATCTATGGACTGTTATCTATGAGGAAAATAGAGAAAAACCTTCACCAAAAGATAAGCATGGATGAGCACCATACCTCACACCTATACTCCCAGCAATTTCAGAGGCCTAGTCATAAAGATCACTGGAAGCTAAAGGATTTCAGACCAGACTGAGCAACTTTTAAGACCACACTTATCCTAGAAATAAGTGCAAAATTCCCCCAGCAGTGGTGGCATGTGCCTGTAATCCCAGCTGCTGAGAAGGATACTGTCAGGAGGATCACTTGAGTTTAGCAACTTATGTTTCCTTGAGCTATGACAGTAACAGTGTATTTTGGGGGGGGGGCAAAGGGGGAAAAGCAGAATCCACTCTATAAGAGATATGCTACATAGGTTCAGGAAAAGTTTGGTAGCATAAAAAAAATTTTTATACATGTAAACCAATTGGGATTTATCACCAGGATTTTCAGTCTTTTTCAATATGGGAAAATCAAATATTAGAACACACTACATTAATAGAATAAATAGGAAAAACCACATGGTCACCTCAAGGACACAAAAAAGGCTTTTCCATAGGCAACATAGCTTGTTTATAAAATCTTTTAAAAACATTCGATGAGAACGAAACATCTTCAGGATGACTAATGGGATTTACAGATGATTAGAAACATATAATGTGCTACATTCACATGATGGATTATTTTTCAACAATCAAAAGGAATGAAGTGCACATTTATGTTATAATAGGAATGAACTGTAAAATTATTATGATAAGGGAACAAGTTCAGTTATAAAAGACCACATAGAGTATGAATGAACTCAGAAGAAAACATCAAGACAAAGCCAATTGTCTGCCAGGAGTAAGGGACAAGTAAGGAGTGTTGAGGGAAAGATGAAAGTGACTGCTGGTAGGTATTGAGACTCTTAGTGTGGGTGGAGAAAACAAAATTCTATAATTAGATTGTGATGATAGTTGTACAACTCTGTGACTATACTGTGAAACACTTAACTGTACACTTTCAAAGGCTGAATTACTTATTTCAATAAGCTACTTGACAATGTTTTCTAAAACTTGAGGTGCTCAAAAGGCTCACAGCATAAGAAGTATCCAGGTTGTGAGAGTACTTGAGAGATAGTCAACCCTATCTCCCTGTTCATACACAGGCTACCATGACTTGTCATGAAAGGCACATTGTTCCATCCTGCCAAAGTTGTCATTTTCTTTTTCCTTGAGACTGATGCTCACTCTTCCTTCCTCGGTAGAGTGCCCTGATGTCATCATAGCTAACTGCAATCTCAAACTCCTGGGCTCAACCTATCCAATTGCCTCATTAGTATTCCTGAAGACATTACCTTTACTTCTAAGATTTTTAAAATATTTATTTCATATATATATTCTCTTTCCTCATCATCCTGAGTAGCTGGGACTAAAGGCACCCACCACAACACCTAGCTATTTTCTGTTGCTGTTTGGCCAGGCCTGAGTTTGAACCTGCAATAGTTGGTATATCAGGCCAGTGCCCCACCCACTGAGCCACAGGTGCTGCCCACGATTAATTTTTTTATTGTTGGGGTTTCATCAAGGGCACAGGAAACCAGTTTACACTGATTGCATATTGCATTTGTTAGATAAAGTCCCTCTTACAATCGTTTCTTGCCCCCCAAAGGTGTGGCACACACCAGGACCCCACCACTACCCTCCTTCTTTCTCTTATCTCCCCTTCCTCCACCCACAACATGTCGTTAGTTGTCATTAATTGTCATCGTATAAAAATTGAGTACATAAGATTCATGCTTCTCCATTCTTGTGAAGCTTTAGTAAGAATAATATGTTCCACTTCCATCCAGGTTAATAGAAAGGCTCTAAATTCTCTGTTTTTTTGAATGTCTAAATAGTATTCCTTGTTGTACATATACCACAGCTCGTTAATCCATTCCTGGGTGGGTGGGTATTTAGGCTGTTTCCACATTTTGGCGATTGTAAATTGAGCTGAAATAAACAGTCTAGTGCAAGTGTTCTTATGAAAAAAGAAATTTTTTCATTCTGGGTAGATGCCCAGTAATGGGATTGCAGGATCAAATGGGAGGTCTAGCTTGAGTTCTTTGACGGTGCTCCATACTTCCTTCCAAAAAGGTTGTATCAGTTTGCAGTTGCACTGTAAATGTGTTCCCTTCTCTTCACATCAACATCAGCATCTGAAGTTTTTAGATTTGGGGATGTGGGCCCTTCTTGCTAGGGTTAGATGGTATTCTCAGGGTGGTTTTGGTTTGTGTTTCTCTAATAATTAGGGATGATGAGCATTTTTTGCATATGTTTGTTAGTCATTCATCTGTCTTATTTAGAGAAATTTTTATTCATGTCTCTTGCCCATTGATATATGGGACTGTTGGCTTTTTTCATGTTGATTAATTTGGGTTCTCTATAGATCCTACTTATCAAGCTTTTATCTGATGCAAACTATGCAAATAACTTTTCCCATTGTGTGGGTTGTCTATTTGCTTTGGTTGTTTTCTCCTTAGCTGTAAAGAAGCTTTTCAGTTTTATTAAGTCCCATTTGTTTATTTTTGTTGTTGTTGCAATTCTCATAGCAGTCTTCTTCATGAAGTCTTTCCCAGGCCGATATCTTCCAATGTTTATCCTATGCTTTCTTTGAGGATTTTTATTGTCTCATGCCTTAAATTTAAGTCCTTTATTCATAGTGAATCAAGTTTTGAGAGTGAAGGAGGGTGTGGATCCAGTTTTAGTCTTTTACATGTGGATATCCAGTTCTCCCAACACCATTTATTCTTTAGAGAGTCTTTACCCCAAGATATGTTCTTGTTTGTTTTATGCAGATTAGGTGGTTGTAAGATGTTCATTTCATTCCTTAGTTTTCTATTCAATTCTAAATGTCTGTGTCTCTATTTTTGTGCCAGCACCAGGCTGTCTTGACCACTATGGCCTTGTAGTACTGTCTACAATCTGGTATGCTGATGCTCTGGCTTTGTTTTTATTACTAAGAATGGTCTTAGGTATACAGGTTTTTTTCTGGTTCCATTCAAAAAATTTCTGGTGAGTTTACACTGAAGTTTACACTGAAGTTTACACTGAAGGAAGAGCATTGCGCTGGTCATTGTGGAGGATGGGTCTGAGAATATCCAGGAGAACTGGTTTAGTTATGGCAAAATTCTTCAACATGTCTATGTCATTAATGTATTTGATTTCTCCATCACAAGTGAAACTCAGTTTAGCTGGATAGATGATCCTGGGCTGGAAGTTGTTTTGTTTTAAAAGATTGAAGGTTGCTGACCATCTTTTTCTGGCTAGAAATGTTTCAGCTGAGAGATCTGTAGTTATTCTGATATTTCTCTCTTTGTAAGTGATGCTTTCCTCCCATCTGGCTGCTTTTAGAATTTTCTCTTTCATCTTCACTTTGGCAAAGTTTATCCCAATGTGTCTAGAAGATGCTTTATTTGGAATGAGTCTTGCTGGGGTGCTGAAGATGTCTGCTATCTGAAGTTCTGAATCTCTCGCAATGTTTGGGAAATTCTCCTCTGAAATCCCTTGGAGTAGAGCCTCTGCACCTTTAGGACCATACTCTTCTCCTTTGGGAATTCCTACAAAACAAATGTTTGATCTTTTGGAATAGTCCCACAACTCTCTCCGGGAATGATCTGTTTTTGCTCCACATTTGTCTCCCTTGTTGAGTGTTTGGGAACGTTCAAAAGCTTTGTCCTCAGTTTCAGAGATCCTTTCTTCTGTCTGGTCAACTCTATTAGTGAGGGATTTCACTGTATTTTGGAGCTCCTCAACTAACTTTTTCATTTTCTTGAGCTCTGCTATCTCTTTTCTCATTATGTCCACATCTTGGGTGACTTGAGACAACTTTAGAAATACTCTTTGGAATTCAATTTCCATCTTTTCTTCCATTCTCTTTATCTTATTTGCAATCCATATTCTGAATTAAGTTTCTGACATTGCTGCCATTTGTCTGTTCATGGCATCTTCAGTTGTATCTCCATTGTCATTTCTTGGGGTGTAGGTTGATCTACTCTGGTTGTTCATGTTGCCAGAGTTCTTCTTTTGAGTCCTCAAAATGTTTATTTTCTACTGATTGGTTGTTATACCTGGTAGGGTGATTGAATTGGAGTTCCTATGTAATAGAGATAGCCCCTTACCAAAGCCCTAGGCTTTGTAATTGTGGCTTATCTCCTACAACCTTAAAATGGCCCCTTTCAGAGTTTTGGCTGGAGACTCTGAGGACCTACTTGGTGAGATAGTGCAGGCTAGCTCTATCTTGGTCTCAGCCAACCTCTAACCTATCCTAAGAAAGCACCTTATTAGATTTAAATCTCGACTGTGAAGAGATACAAACAGCTGTGGCACCCAGCCCCTACCCTTCAGTTCTTTTCAACTACATTACTTACGTTACTTCAAAGGTCAACCTTAGAATGTCCCAGAGTAGACAGCCCCAGACACGGGTTCCAACCAAATTGTCTCTGGTGGTACAAACCCTGCCCAACAGAGAGGGATTCAAGAACAATTCAAAATAAGGGATTCAAAGCACAATTTGAGTCAGGGACCCACACTCCCACCTGCCAGACTCAGTCCACACTATTGATTGCTTCTCTGCTCAAAGGCCCAGGTGGAGCCAACGATAACACCCCCACCTACCGGTCTTAGTTAACACACTGCTAGCTTCTAGAGTAGGGTCTGGAGTAGTGCCTGCCAAACCAGTTGGAGTTAGGGGATCATGCCCCCTCTTGCCATTCTCAGTCCACTGCCTAGCAAGTTTCTGTTTGCAGCCTCTGTTGG